ACTGATATACACCTGAACATCAGCAGGAGAGGACTCTTTAAAGTAGAGGCACAACATACTGATATACACCTGAACATCAGCAGGAGAGGACTCTTTAAAGTAGAGACACTACATACTGATATACACCTGAACATCAGCTGGAGAGGACTCTTTAAAGTAGAGACACTACATACTGATATACACCTGAACATCAGCAGGAGAGGACTCTTTAAAGTAGAGACACTACATACTGATATACACCTGAACATCAGCAGGAGAGTACTTTTAAAGTAGAGACACTACATACTGATATACACCTGAACATCAGTAGGAGAGGACTCTTTAAAGTAGAGACACTACATACTGATATACACCTGAACATCAGCAGTAGAGGACTCTTTAAAGTAGAGACACTACATACTGATATACACCTGAACATCAGCTGGAGAGGACTCTTTAAAGTAGAGACACTACATACTGATATACACCTGAACATCAGCTGGAGAGGACTCTTTAAAGTAGAGACACTACATACTGATATACACCTGAACATCAGCAGGAGAGGACTCTTTAAAGTAGAGACACTACATACTGATATACACCTGAACATCAGCAGGAGAGGACTCTTTAAAGTAGAGACACTACATACTGATATACACCTGAACATCAGCAGGAGAGGACTCTTTAAAGTAGAGACACTACATACTGATATATTCCTGAACATCAGCAGGAGAGGACTCTTTAAAGTAGAGACACTACATACTGATATATTCCTGAACATCAGCAGGAGAGGACTCTTTAAAATATGTAAACATGTTCTATTAAAAAACAAAATACAAGTATGAAATGCACTGTATGCTTCATCTCTTCATCTGCACCCACCAGTCACTGATCCAAACTGTAGGGATGTCCCGATCTGTCGGCTACCGGCACATGAAAGCGCCGAGTCGTACCGGGTTGCAGCCACATCTGGATGAGCAGAGGTTCTCCGTCCCTGTGGGGATGTGTGAGGGTCATGAGTCTGCGACAGATGAACATGAAAGTGAAAACCTCCCTTTAATGATTCATGGTTGTTGTTGTTGTTGTTGTTGTTAGAGTGGAACCGGTGGGACCGTCTGCGTGTTTCCCATCTCTGGTGCTGATTAAATAAAAATAGCTTTTTAACGTTAAAGAGGAAAGATCTGCATCTAAAATAAATTCATAATGCCTCTAGTTTCCAAAGAGGATCAGAACTTTGTTGGAGTTGAGAGAAGTTGAAAAGTTTTGAAAATTCTTGAGGATGTAGCAATACTTTCTCAGAGTCAGAAGAAGTGCATGATCACATTAGCATAGATTTCCTTTGGGTTTTTTGTTGTAGAATGAGGCCTCCAGGAGGGCAGGCGTCTGTGTTTGTTTCTAAATAAAGTAGACTGCCAATGAGCTCAATCTGCGATGTGAGGAAAAGCCTCTAAATGTCGCTCTGCTTATTCTCTTTCTCACCGAGGGCCTGTGCCATTTCAATGCAGCCAATTTTAAACCGGGCCCTCATATCACAGCTCCGTGGCACACAACTTTGATACGAAGAAACTTGTGTTATTCCAAATATTGTGAGAATCAGGTCACTCTACTTCTATGCATCAACAAAACAAAGGAGAGAATTGTGACATAGAAAGTATTAAACCAAACCACTGTCGCATTGCTTATGTTTTTATTTACACGATTAGTAATTACTCATTGGTTTATTGGTAAGACTGCAAAAACAAACTCTTGTATTAACAGGACAAATGTTCACAGGAAGTCATTTTTTTGTTACACCCTCCTTTAGGGGTCGCTGTCTGTCAGTCCCCTCCGCCCTCTGCAGGTGTGTCACACTGAACACGGTCCCCCGCTGGTTGTTTTCAGGTGAAGGTGGCTTTAAGGGTTATCTGGCAGGCGGCCAGCTCACAGCCTGCTGACAGCTCTGTGTCGCTGTAATTGACGATGAATAAGTGAGGACGTCTTAATTTAATCAGGCAGGTCCACTGCTGTTCAAACAGCTCCTCTGCAGGAAACAAGATACATGAAGTTAAAACTGTTTTCAATTCACTTTTTGTTTTCAAATCAGTCAGAAAACTTTTTGGGGAGCTGACTGAGTGAAAAAGTAATGCATGGCTACTGTGTGCCAGAAATATCCTAAATAGACATATTACAAAATACACCTCCCGTAGAAAAATGACAGTATCGTATTGAAATAATAACATAGTGGATGAAAATGTAATATGTTACAACAACTTTAAATGTATTCAGTAACTTATTGTTAATCCACTTCAGAAACATTATCGTGGTTATCATCATGGATTTAGAACAGGTTACAAAACCATGCACACAGAGATTGTGAATCCCAGGTTTCTGAGTCCATTTTTTTTAACCCCAGAGGGACTTCATTTTTTTAAGACGTTAAATAAATAATACTGTACTGCAGCACAAAGACAGACAGTCCTGAACACTGTGAGGGCCGCCTGTCAAACATCCTCAATACTCCAACTTACTTTCAAAGAAAATGTAGAAATAAGAAGCTGTGAGCTGCTGTCATTTGTGTTTTATTGATGTATTCAATTCCTGAATATTGTACTGTTTGCTGCACAAACGTAATGATTTACCTTTTATTGTTGTGTAAAGCACATTGTAGTGTTTTGACCACCTTTGTTTCGGTCTTTGTTCTCGCCAAGTTGTCGTCAATGTCTCAAGCAGCCCCTTCAAGTCTCTTTTTGTTTAATTGGAGGAGGAAAGTGCTGCAGAATTTAAATTGTGTCTGTGCCAAAGGAAGCTGTGACATGTGACAGTTTGACACGGCTTCAGCACATCACTGAGATGTCACTTCAGTCCGTGAGAGCGAGGCGCTGCAAGCTGCTCCACGTTTCTGTGTGGGAAGAGAAGTAAAAGTTGTGCACCATGCTGCCGACTTCTTTACAAACTATAGTTGCTAGGAGACGCAAAACCTAGTGCAAGACTGTTATTCAGGTGTTTATATTTATATGTTTTGTTTCAGGTTTTTTTTCCCTTTATGATAATTTAAAGAGGACCTGATAAGCTTTTGGAGGTTCGCCAAGACTCCATTGTTTACTTCCGCATCAAAATGACATGACTATCTATCACTCGCGCTTCTATTGGCTAGCGCTCCAACACATTGTACGTGATAGGCTAAGGGGCGGGACATATCTAAGCTGCTGACCAATCACAACTGACAGGCAGTATGAGAAAAACGATGAACCTGAAAATGAGCATAATAGGTCCCTTTTAAAGTTAGCCGTGTACTAATGGCCATGCTTTTGGGATATGATGTTAAAAAATCACATGTTGGTGTATTGTAGTCTACATATTGTTGGCCATATAGTCTATTGTAAAACTCTGCAAAGTAAGCAAGTAATAACAACAAAAACTGGAAAGTAACAAGGGAGAAGTAGGGTTGTTATGAGTCTGTGTTTGCGTTCTTCAACAGCAACTTACCATATGTGCTTTAATACTAAACTCCATTTAGCACCTCCATCACTTAGCACAGAAACTGCACTTCATTACCCAGTGAGTGATGTTCCTGCATATTCATTAGTTACCACCCCTTACCTTTATGAGTAACGATGTGCCATTACTCGCTGCCACTTCATAACAAACGGAATCTGTCTCAGGGGGGGAGGTGGACTTCACCCATGGGTGCTGTTGAGTGAGGAGCCGTTCAATATCGTCCTGTCTGGATCCCGGGTCGTTGTTCCTGAATTATAGCTGCTAATTATCCAGCTCCTCCGCGTAATGGGGATAAAAACAAATGGCCTCAATTTATTCTGGCTCCTGGGTGGAGACCATGCACAACGGTGGTTGCTTACCGTAGACATGCTAACAATTAAAAACGTAACAACCTGCACCGTATGTACCTACTTTAGATTTGCCCATGCACATAGACATTTAAACATATTCACAAGTATTCATATCTGTAAATACTTTGAGTATGTTTTTTCTCAGTGATCGTGCTGTTATGTTAAATGTTTGTTTTTTATGTACTATGTCCTGATATTGGTCTATGTTGATGTTACACATGGAGCTGCTGTGATGCAAGTCAAATTTCAGACTTGATCTGACCATTAAAGTAATATCGTATCGTATATTTTTTGATATACTGTAACTTACATTATTTTTTACTGTTAGTATATAAAATATAGTTTTTCTTATTCTCCTTATTTGAACTCTTACCTGTCCAATGCTGGTTTTATTCTTGTTTCAGATACTTCTGCAACACTTGTTCCCTACAGGGATCAAAATCACATCAATTTAGATTTCACAAAACAAATTTGTCTAAGGGGGATTTACAGATCAACAAACAACAATGTAAAGAAGATGTGTTAAAAATCCAAGACTGTGATACAATTAAGAGATATAAGGCAAATAATAACACAAAGTATTTATACGTAAAATGAAAATGAAATAAAATGCAATACAAGTACAATACAAATATTTTATGTATTTTCCTTACAAATCATCTGTGACATGTGATATTTAACTTAATACAATAATATGAAATACTGTATACTATGATACAACATACAACAAAATCTAATTGTGAAATTGATGCATGGATGAACACAAACATACTGTGACCTTAAAATGCCAAATAAGCACAAAAGAACACAAGAAGAAGAAGAACCAAGAAGATACAAACCGAATCATATAAGTACATCAGGTTTCACCGAGCCAAACATTTCAAGTGCTACTCAACTGGCTATAGATAAGCCAGTCCGTTGTTAGTATATAAGTGCTTTGTTAGTAATTCTATCGCTCGAAGTGGAGTCGAAAGAGATGAGTTTTCAGTCTGCGCCGGAAGATGTGCAAGATATCTGCTGTCCTGATGTCAATGGG